TGGGCATGGTGCAGGGGGATCGGGAGATCTGGCCTGAATCCCCTTGTGCCACCTGCTCTGTGTGGCCGCTGACACGTTTCAGCAAGCACTCTGGGCCTCAGCGTCCATTATGTGAAATGCAAAGAACATCTGTCTCCAGAGGCTTCAGAGAGGATGCAGAGAGAGGCTATTTGTAAAGTGCCCCTAGGACACAAAAGGCAATTAATACCCATTAGTGCACCAATTACTCACATAATGGTTTGAGGTCAAATCCAAAGCCCTAACAAAGAAGGCAATGGGGCCACGCCTAGGAGGAGAGGCGGCACTTCCCAGTGGCACTGGGGCTGGGCATTGTGTGAACTCCCCACCTGCTCACTGCTGGCTGATCAAGTCCTCCCGCCCAGCAATGAAGCAGGGCTGACTCACACGGGCAAGGCTGGGGACGGTTCAGGAGCACAGAGGCCATACATGGTTTCTGAGGGTCAGAGAGGCGTGGGTGTGGAGTCGGTGATGGGAGCACTCAAAGTGTGTGTGTTGGTCATTCAGTCGTGCCTGACTCTTTGTGACCCCATGGACTGCAGCACGCCAGGCCTCCTGTCCATCACCAGCTCCCAGAGTTTACTCAAACCCATGTCCATCAAGTCGGGGATGCCATCCAACCATCTCATCCTCTAGCGTCCCTTTCTCCTCCTGCCTTTAATCTTTCCCAGCATCAGGGTCTTTTGAAATGAGTCGGTTCTTCGCATCAGTTGTCCAAAGTATTGGAGTTTCAGCTTCAGCATCAGTCCCTCCAGCCTCCAAACAGGCATTAACTGAGCAACCTGAAATGAGGAAATGACTTTCTTTTTGGGTTCAGGCAGAATGGGGTTAGTGTAGGGCAGAAATGAGATGGGGAAGGCAGGTTAGGAACAAACCTGTGGAAATTTCTCCAGCAATAATATAGAGGGCTTGCAGCTCTTGGCATGTAATCTGAATGGGAAAGTTCACTGCCAGCCTCCAAACCAACCTTCAGTACTGAAAGGAGCTTAGTTCCAGTTCTAAAGCAAGCTTAGGGGAAAAAATGACTCTGTTCTTTTGCTGGTTACCCTCCTAATGACCATTTACTCCCATCCCCTTTCCTCCAGATGGAGGTAGAACACCCTCGTGGGGAGGATCTTGAATCTCCCCCAAGGCCAGTCCCACACGGTAATGCCCCTTCTTCAACACGATGTCTGCCCATTTCTCTTCTCTGCGCTGAACTTTCCCATTCAGATTATGTGCCAAAGGCTGCAAGCCCTCTATATTATTGCTGGAGAAATTTCCACAGGTTTGTTCCTAACCTGCCTATTTCCCCATCTCATTTCTGCCCTACATTAACCTCATTCTGCCTGAACCCAGAAAGCCATTTCCTCATTTCAGGTTGCTCAGTTCATGCCCTCCAGCCAATGCCCTGACACTTCTCTCACATCACGAGTGTAATTCACTGGCTGGAACGATATTAAGTTACTCCATAAATCCAGCCCCACAATATTTGATATGAGAAGGGGTTTATTTGAGAGGGTTTAATAATTGATCAATGTCTTCATTAAAATTCCGTACCTACGGTATAATGCTCATTAGAGATTTTCATGTCAATCAAGAGAGCCCAAATTTATTTTATACTGTTCCAAGTGAACCCAAGGCTCTCTGAGTGCATCATGGACCTAAATCTGCATGACTGTCAGGGCAGTAGAAACCCCTTAGCACCTTCATTTTAGTTATACCAGATTTGGGAAAAAAGAAAAGATGATTAACTCAGTGACAAATTATTCTTGTTTTCCTTATAAGATTCTCAGGAGAGAACTGCACTTGGAGGGTAAGAGCTAGTGAGGGAAGGCACAGTGTCACAGAGCTGATTACATCGGTCTCAGTCCAACGCCATGTTTGAATTTGGATGCCTTTGGTTTGCCTTCTTTTTTGTAAAATTAGAGCACAAGAAAACAGATGATTATCTGAAAGTGGTCTTACTTCATGCAGTTTGTGGAAACTGCAGCCTGTCCATCAACCTAAGGTTGGTTTCAATTAATAAGACCCACGGCACAGTCCCGCTGCTCTTATCAGTAAACAACCACTGCTTAATGAAGCTGCACAGAATTCGGGGGCTGAGCGTAAACAACCATTTCTTATTAGTGTTCAAGTATCTGTGATCAGCTGGTGGCTGAGGACTGGCTATGTGATATGTGATGTGTGGTATGTGACATGTAGTACCCTGCTTCACATACATGCAGTGGACTGGCTATTGGCTGAGTTGATGGAATAGACTGGTCATCTGCCTCTTGTCCTTCAGCAGTCCACCCTGTATAACAGGCAGAGTGACCCTCCCCTCCTCGAGCCCCAGCCAAAGATGTCCGTGTCCTAATGCCCAGAACCTGTGGCTATGTTATCTTTCGTGGCAAAAGAGAGTCTACATGTGTGCTTGAGTTAACAATCTTGAGATGGAGGGACCATCCTGGATTATCTGGGTAGCCCCAGTATAATCACAGGGGTCCTTACAAGAGGGAGGCAAGAGGATCAGAGTCCTGAGAGAAGATATAAGGATGGGAGCAGAGGTCAGAGGGAAAAGAAGATGAAGCATTGCTCTCTCTGAGATGGAGGAGAGTCCACAAGCCAAGGAATATAGGCAGCGTTATAAGCTAAAAAAAAGGCAAGGGAATGGATTTTCTCCTGGAAACTCCAGCCCTCTGGACCAGTTTTAGACTTCTGACATTTAGAACTGTATGAGAATAAATATGTGTTGCTATAAGCCATTAAGTCTATTGAAATTTGCTATAGTAGTTATAGAGGCAAATACACCTGGACTTGTTAGCAAGGGCTTCCCTGGTGGCTCAGTGAAGAATCTGCCTGCAATGCAGGAGACCCAGTTTCAATCCCTGGGTTGGGAGGATCCCCTTGAGAAGGGAATGGCAACCCACCCATGCCAGTATTCTTGCCTGGAGAATTCCATGGACAGAGGAGCCTGGCGGCTATAGCCCATGGGGTCACAAAGAACCAGACATGACTGAGTGACTGACACTTCCACACTTTCATAAGTCACTAGCTGTGGAAATTTGCTTCAGCAGTTATAGAAGCTAATACATTTGGACTTGTTAACAAGTTCTTAGCAGGGTTCCAAGAGAGAGGCAGGAGGGAATCATAAACTCGGAAGAGACACACTGTCACTGCTGCCACATTCTCCTGGCCAGTGGTGTCACAAGGCCATCCAGAATTCAAGGGCTAGAGCAATAAACTCCACCACTGGATTCTATTTCTCTTACCTCTTGATGGGAGAAGCAGTAAAGTCACCTTGCAAGGAGGTGTTGAAACTGAGCAGTATTCTGCAGGCCCTTCCCAGGAACCAACCCCATGTGCCCCAACTCTTGTTTGTAGAAGAGCTTCACCCTCCTAGGCCCTCTCCAAGTCCAAAGAGCAAATTTAATCAGAAAAGTGAGAAACTATAGAAACAAAGGAAAACAGTCAAGCAAAACAAAATAATGAGTTTAGCCATAAAACAAAGTCAGGGCCCTTTAGTTCCTCCTCACAGGCTATAGATAATATTCAGCACCATATCCTTGAGCTGTTTTGCAGACATTAAAACCTCCATCAGGTGAAAGAAGTTAACTGTAGGCTGACCACAGCAGGTGGACCTCAGACTCGTTGGAACCAGGTTTATGATGCTTATTCCCAGAATATCACACTCACCACCAGGCAATCAAGAGCTACATGAGCTGATCAGCCACCTGCAAGCCTCTCCCCCATCTTGACTTTAACAGCCCTTCCCCAAAAGCCATTGGGGAGTTGTGGCCTTCTTTTTTTTATAACCATGTTTTTTATTGAGGTTCAGCAAAGCGTCGGACATGACTGAGCGACTGACAGTTCAGTCACTCAGTCGTGTCTGACTCTTTTCCACCCCATGGACTGCAGCACGCCAGGCCTCCCTGTCCATCACCAACTCCTAGAGTCCACCCAAACCCATGTCCATTGAGTAGGTGATGCCATCCAACCATCTCACCCTCTGTTGTCCCCTTCTCCTCCCACCTTCAATCTTTCCCAGCATCAGGGTCCTTTCAAATGAGACAGCTCTCCGCATCAGGTGGCCAAAGTACTGGAGTTTCAGCTTCAGCATCAGTCCTTCCAATGAACACCCAGAACTGATCTCCTTTAGGATGGACTGGTTGGATCTCCTTGCAGTCCATGGGGCTCTCAAGAGTCTTCTCCAACTGACTGACTGACAGTTAATTTATAATGTTGTGTTAGTTTCAGGTATATAGCAAAGTGATTAAGTTATATATATACAAGTTAAGTTTTATATATATATATATGTATGTATATACATAACTTAATGGCAGCCCACTCCAGTATTCTTGCCTGGGAAATCATATGGCAGAGGAGCCTGGCACGATAGGGTCCTTGGGGCCACAAAGAGTCAGACACAACTGAAAATGCACATATATATATATATGTACATACACACACACACACACATATATATATATTCTGTTTAAGATTCTTTTCCCTAGGTTATTACAAAGACATTGAATACAGTTAATTGTGCTATACAATAGGTTTGTATTTTTTATCTATTTTACACAAGACGGGTGTATATATTAATCATAAACTATTAATTTATCTCTCCTTCACCCCTCAACCCATGATCCCATTTGGTAACCATGTTTGTCTTCTGTGTCTGTGAGTCTATTTCTGTTTCATAAATAAGCTCATTTATATCAAGTTTGGGTCTTTTAAACACAAGCTGCCAATTCTCCTGCTTGGCCCCACACTGGGGGCCTTGGGATAAACTCTGCACTTCCATTCCCCACAATCTGGTGCCAGTAGGTTAGCTTTACTGCCTTCAGGCGAGTGGACCCAATTTAGGTTCGATAATAGTGTGGAGACTGAGAAGGGTAAAAAATTATGGCCATTCTTCTTGCAATCAATCTATCACCATGCCCTTTGCAAAGTGAGAGAGGACATTTAAAAGCAGCATTTGACCCTGGTTTTTCTTCATTTCCAGGGACACAGGAAGCATGGGAGTCTGGACCTTAGGCACCAACATCTTCTCAAGCCTCTGGGAGACGTATGTGTCTCCAAGAAGCCCTGGATGGATGGCCTTTACCCAACACGTGGGCGTTTGCTGTTTTGTCGCTTTCATTTCCGTGGGCCTCCTCTCTGGGGCCTTCTGCTGGTTCCTGTCCTCACTCATCGTCTTCATCACCTCCTGGATGGCCACGTGTGTTCTGCTGTGCTGCTCCAAGCACGCACGGTGCTTCCTTCTGCTGTTCTTCCTCTCGAGCGGCCTGCGTGAAGGCAGGAACGCTTTGATCGCTGCCGGCACCGGGGTGGTCATCTTCGGACACGTGGAAAATATCTTTCACAACTTTAAAGGGCTCCTGGACAGTATGACTTGCAACCTGAGGGCAAAGAGCTTTTCCATCCATTTCCCACTTTTGAAAAAATATATCGAAGCCATTCGGTGGTTGTATGGCCTTGTCACTCACCTGAGTCTATTTGATGACCTTGTGTCTTGGAACCAGACCCTGGAGGTCTCGCTTTTCAGTCCCAGCCAAGCCCTGGAGGCTCAGCTCGACGGCGCCACGGACAGAGCCCTGGGGGTCTTGTACCAGGTGGTGACGGCGACGGAGGCGCTGTGCTCCCTGGGGCGGCAGGTCCTTGCCCTCACGGCGCTGCTGCTGCTACTGCTTGGCACCGGCCTCTTCATGAAGCGATTCTTGGCCCCTTGCAGCTGGAAGTTTGAGAACATCTACCTCACCAGGCAATTTGTGCAGCTGGATGAAAGGGAGAGGTGTGAACAGAGGCCCTGTGTCCTCCCGCTGAATAAGCAGGAAAGGAAGAAGTATGTCCTCGTCCCGTCTTTCTGGCTGACTCCTAAAGACAGGAGGAACCTGGGGCTCTTTTTCTTCCCGGTCCTTACCCACCTCTATATCTGGTTGCTGTTTGCAGCTATAGATTATCTGCTATACTGGCTCATTTCCTCCATGAGCAAACATTTCCAAAGCTTGCCAGGGCTCGAGGTGCACTTGAAACTGCACAGACAGGTAGGTGCTCATGGGCCCGTCTCACCTGGTATCCTAGCTGTTTGCAAAAGATTGTGAACGTCCCAAGGAAGGGCAGTGTTATATTTCCCTCCTGGATCCCCAGTGCCTGGCACGGAGCCTGGTATGTAGGAAGAGCCCCAAACAAATTGGTTAAACTGCTTTGAAACCCCAGTCTTATATGATAATGTTCTGAACATCTTTGATCACTGCATTAGTTTTCTGGGGCAGCCTCGTCCCAACAGAGAGGACCATGGTTTTTGTTCATCCCATCTTTCCTTTTTTCCATTTTTTCCCTGTGCCAGTTTATGATTACGTGGACATTTCAGGGGGCTTCCCAGGGGCCTGCCTCGCCACTTCCCACGTGCAGTGGTTAAGAATCCACCTACCAATGCAGGAGATGCAAGAGACTTGGGTTCAATCCCTGGGTTGGGAAGATTCCCTAAGGTAGGAAATGGCAACGCGCTCCAGTATGCTTGGTTGGAATATTTGCCATGGACAGAGGAGCATGGAGGGCTACAGTCCATGGGGTCACACGGAGTCAAACACGACTGAGCCCATTCTGGACATTTCAGAGGATCTGCAGCCTGACAGATACTTGTCTTACTTGTTTTTAAACCCAGTCACTGTGGAGCTGAGCTAGGTGGGATGTGCACTTGGGTGTATGTGTGCACACAATGTGTGAAGCTGTATGTGTTTGCACATGCGTGTGTGTAGGAAAGTCATGCATGCTGGGTGGTGTGTACTAGCCTGGGGTGGTGAAAACACCATCCACTGTTTCCATGTGTCGGACTTTCCTCTTTATGGAGCTACAGTAGGTTGTGCCTCTGCCGGGGGAAATCTCGGAGGGCAAGGGCAGAAGGGGACCTGGAAACCCTCCTCTGAAACCCCACTTCCCCCTGCGGTGTCCACACTCTCCCTCTCCCTCCCTTTTCTCCTGGTCAGCAGGTGCCGTCTGGCCCCTGTCCCTCCCACTCCTGGGCTGCTTCTCCGAGCTGATTACTCTGAGCATTCCCTTGCCCTGAAGACTTCAGTTAATTACAAGAACCCCCCGTTGCTCAAGATATCTGGAGCAGAGTGGATAATGGAAGCAGTGTCTCAGATGGAAGCCAAACAAGATTTTTCAGGCCGGCTGGATCGTGGGGGGCAGCTGGTAAAAGGACCCCTCCCTTCCCTCCCCCACAGCCCACCCCCCTCCCATAGGTCCTTTTTTAAACCAGTTCCTCTCTTTCTTTCTCTTTTTGCTCCTCTTTCATCTGTTTCTCTCTCAGCCAAAACCCAGGCCTGGTTTGTGAATTCTCACTGTTTTAAACGGGGGCGGGGTGGGGAGATGGGGGTGGGAGAGGGAAGCGATCTCTGCCTTTCGAAAAAGGCCCAGAAACTTCCCAGTGACACTGTCCTGACAAATACATTTTTCGGTGTTGTTGCGGGGGTCCTGGGGATGCAAAGATGTCTCAAGTGAGAGGGCTGACGTCGAGCAGCTTACGATCTGGCGCGGGGAGTCCACCTCGGACACTCACAAGGACAGCAGGGCGGTGGGCACTGGGACAGAAGCGAGTTCGAGACTGCTGTTCTGGCTCCTCTCAGACTCTCTGCTTAAGAGCCCGGGAGACCGTGCCCCCAGCGGCCGGCTTCCACGTGGCCGGCAGTGCCTCTCTTATTCCTGGATGACCTTGGAGATTCCCGGTCCCTCTGTTGGGGCAGATTTGCAAAGCAGTCATGCAAGAGGAGAAACACTGGCTCAAGTTTCCTCCCACTTTCAAATGATTTTAAATAAAGAAGAAAGATGGGAGGCGACGTGACTAGACCTGGCTGGATGGCTGGGCACTGTAAGAAAAAAATAGCTACTAGGTTGCTACTTATTGAGCACCTACTGTGTGCCCAGAACCAGTCTGCATTAACTTTTCAGGACTGTCTGCTACCTGAGCGAATCTTTTCATTTGTTACTCGATGCTGTTCTGGCAAATTGTTTACTTGGGAGAGGCAAACACATTTTAAAACACTGGGATACCATTTAATACATCGCTCTGTATTTTGAGAGTTTGTCTTCCACACTGCCCTCTATCAAGCCCTTACAAAAGTGTTGACTCAACCCTGACTCTCAACTGCAAAATCCCTGGTTAGATTCCTAAACTAAATAACTCCTTTCCAGACTGGACACCCGCTGCTTTCTTATTGCAGGATTTCTCATCACTGACTCAATCGATGTGTTTGTTTCTTCAACGGTATTAAAAAGAGCACATGCCTTTGCTCTGGGGACCGAAAACTCTCTATTTAATCACAGGCAAACTGTCTTTTTTTAATAAGAGAAAAGGAGAGGCAACAAGGCTTTCTCCTGCCTAGCTACAGTGCTGGGGAAATTGCAGATTGGACTTGACATTTGTGTTAAAGTCCCAGGATTAGGGTTTCCAGATTTTTCACTGGTATTGGGGTGAATCCAAGGTGCATGGTGTTCTCTGCGTGTGGTTGGGTTCTTTTCAGAAGTCATTTCCAGCTTTTGGGCCCCAGGGCTCTGGGGCACTGGGGTAATAATAACTTACTAAGTATTCCAGTCTATAAGGTTAATGCTCCATCCCCAAGGTGCTTAATTTACACTAGGAGTAGTTTATTCGTGGGCAGGATCTGGTCCATTAATTCCTGTTTTACCAAATTGGAAAACAGATCCACTGAGAGATGATGTGACTTTCTCAGGTCAGGGAAAAGTAAGAGCTGAATCAGCACACACGTCTCCTGCTGGTGGCTTGTCTGGGTAGCCCAATGTCATCTGCCCTCTGGGTCAGTTTGATGAGGGCAGCTGGTTTTTTCTGTTGCCTTCAAACAGGAAGGAATGCACCCCTTCTAGCATCCAAGAGAGATGAGAAATTGTCCTATTTTGAGACCTCTATAAATAGGATTTTAGAGCCACTTTCAGTAAATATACTCTTTTTAGTACCCTTGCATCAAGAATAATTCCACCCCATCCCCGCCACTTCAAGCTCTAGAAGGGTGACTGAGAACATAATTTAATGCCTCTACATCTTTATGACCTTGTGGTCTGCTGACGGGGTGTTTGTCAAGATGCAGAGACTATGACTGGGTCTTGATGGGCTCTGCTACAGAAAAATCTCCTCCAGTTGAGCTAAAACCATCTTTCATGAATCCCACATCCTCTGAAGTATAGAAACAGGTATTCCATACGTGGGTTATGCAGTCAAAATTATTAGAAGAGGACTTCCCTGGTAGTCTGGGCTTCCTTGGTGGCTCAGATGGTTAAGAATCTGCCTGCAGTGCAGGAGACCTGGGTTTGATCCCCGGTTTGGTAAGATCCCCTGGAGAAGGGAACAGCTACCCACTCCAGTATTCTGGCCTGGAGAATTCCATGGACAGAGGAGCCTGGCAGGCTACACAGTCCAAGGGATGCAAAGAGTCGGACATGACTGAGTGACTTTCACTTTTTTCTTTTCCCTGGTGGTCCAGTGGTTAAGAATCTGCCTGCCAGTGCGGGGGACATGGGTTTGATCCCTGGTCTGGGAGACACCACATGCTGCAGAGCAATTTAGCCCATGTGTGTGCCACAACTACTGAGACCTCAGTGTCCTAAAGCCCGTGCTCTGCAACAAGAGAAGCCACCACAATGAGACGCCCAGCCATCGCAGCTAGAGAGCAGCCCCGATTTGCCACAACTAGAGAAAGCCAGTGTGCAGCAATAAAAACCCAGTGCAGCAATAGAAACCCAGAGCAGCCAAAAATAAAATAAATAATTGTAAAATCCTTTCAAACATTATTAGGAGAAGGATTTGTTGAAGCAAAACAAATTTCTCTGCTTTCTTCTCAGACCCTTCAACAGTCTCGTGGACATCATTTCTCTAAAGAAGAGACAGAGCAAACAAACTTACCTGATATCCTTCTCTCAAGGAAATCTATATTTCCCCAAACCCACTTTGGAAAACGCTGCGGTATCTACAACTAAAACTACCCCCTTCTTTACTCCAGTCGTTGCACATAAAAAGAGTTGGAATAGCTCCTTCCACCAAAGCTCCCTGCGTGTTTTAAGATAAATGCTACCTGCTCCAGAGCAGTATAGAGAAAGACTAGGGCAAGGTATGAAAATGGCATGGATCTTGATGATTTTATTCTTTCATTTTTAGGAACAAGGGACTCAAGACATCATCCATGATTCTTCCTTTAATATATCTCTGTTTGAACCGACCTGCATCCCTAAACCGAAGCTCCTTCTGTCTAAGACCTGGATTCCTCTCAGCATCATCCTTGTGATACTAGTGACACTAGGACTGTTGTCCTCCGTCCTGATGCAACTTAAAATCCTGGTGTCAGCATCCTTCTACCCAAGCGTGCAGAGGGAGCGCATGCAATACCTCCATAAGAAGATACTGAAGAAAAGATCAAAGCAGCCAGTGGGAGAAGTAAAAGGGAAACTGAGTCTGTGCTTTACAAAGGTAAAGCTGAAATGGGGGTATAACCTGTAACTAGGGAAATTTTGAGCTTCAAGGGCAAATGGAATTTCTAAGCACTCTTTCAAGTTTACGTTAAGGCTTATATCCCCAGCAACAGATGGGGAGACCCTGGGGTGAGGGGGTGAGGATGGGGAACAGACACACATGGCTAAGTCCAGAAGATTCTACAATAATGCTGGTTGGTCCAGAAGATTCTAGAAGAATAATCCTTCAAAACGCTGATTCCAAGTGAGTTTTCCAGTCTTATCGTAGAGAAGCTACTGGGAATGCCTCCTCTAATTGCTGCTAAAGGACACTGCCCAGAGTGAGTTATTTTACCAGAGTAAATAAAGAACAGAAGGGAAGTATCTGCTACAACTTGGTAAACTTCAAAAAATTTGCTCATTGTCCAGCATTAAAAGACATAGGGACTGTCCTTGTAGTCCAGTGGCTAAGACTCCAAGCTTCCAATGCAGGGGACCTGAGTTCGATTCCTAGTCAGGGACCTAGATCTTATATGTTGCAACTAAGACCTGGTGCAGCCACATAAATAAACATTAAAGTTTTTAAAAAATATATGATGATATTTATATGATATATGTATATTTATACATATATACGATAACATAATGACTTTCACACACATATAAAATGAACACTCATCAAAGACTTTATTCAACTTATTAATTAAAAAGGGAACAGTAAGAAATTCCAACCAATTCAAAGAACAACTTAAATCACACACATATATACAAACCACTGAGAAGACCAAAATTAATTTGCTTAATAGATGTAAAACTGACTTGTTCCAACAGGGTGGATGGGAGGATGAGTTGTATTCTACTGGGTGAAATTCATTTGCATGCCTATGGACAAGGATCATTTGTTGTTGCCATCAGCCATCTACAACTTACAGAATCGGGAAATATTTCATAGACAATGAAAGACCAAAACAATTCTTAAGAATAAGCTTTTCTGGCCATTTTCAAAGTCTTTTGAAAAGTTCATGTCAGTGGCAACTGAAATAATTCTAATGCTCATTCATCCAACTCTGTGTCTTTTCAGATTCATTTCTGGCTTCCGGTCTTGGAAGTGATTGGGAAGAAACAAATGGACATTGCCAGTGAAAACAACCCAGAAGAGACCCCACACAGCTCTTCGTCCACCCTGTGCCAGCAAGTCTTCTCAAGGCTACTGACAGCAGCCCGTTCTCATCCCCAGCAAGAGAGAACTGCACAGCAGGGTCCTTCAGTGGCTTGAGTTTGCAGGGTCAAGCCACTTTTCTCCATAAAGGGCTCCCAGGTAAACGTTGAAGCTGTCTGTCTCACAGACCAGACACGTGGTCTGGACTCTGTGTCAGTGTAACAGGACAATAACACAGGCCCTGCAAGGATAAGTCTCAGCATAGATTAATATTCAAAGAAAAAAATTAGAAAAAATCAAAATCTCTGCTATAGACTCACAAGCGAATATCAAGGAGAGCATACATGTATGATGCCAGAAAAATATCTTTCAGTGCTTCTGTCCCTTCTCTGCCCTCCTTAATATCCTTCATGGCTATTTCCTATTCTCACAAATGTCTGTCTGCCTCCTGCACCCTTATTCAAGAACTCTTTCCAAAACCCGTCTCCAGCAGCTCCCAATTTCTTCCCACCATCTCCTCTCTCCTACCCTCTACTTTCCTGGATCTCTCTGCCTTTTCCTCTGTTACCAAATCCTCCAGCCACATTTATTTAGAGAACACATTGATTACAATCATATGAAAGACTGGTTACAATGGTCACCTTGAGCCTCTTTTTCATGATACTCAATATATACTGTACAGCACAGAGACATATTTTCCCAATAATACCTAAGGAAAAAAATACTGATTCTGTTTTCTCTATGGTGTCCAAGTAGGAAAGAAATAAACATCAAATTTTTTAAGCTTTTCATTTTGAAAAATTTTCAGACTTACAAAAAAGTGGCAAAATAGTACCACATTCCATCTACCCATCACCCCTCATCTCCGAAAGTTACCATCTTATATAACTGCAGCACAATTGTCGAAACCAGGTAGTAGCATTTGGAAAATGCAGAATCTATAGAACTCATTGGATTTTCACCAATGTCCCACTGATATCCCACTAATGTCCCAAGGACTGGTCCTTGATCCAGTCCAGGCTCACCCACTGTATTTGTTTGGCATAGTTCCTTACTCTCGTCTGATTGGGGACAGTTCCTTAGTGTGTCTTGCTTTTTCTTTCATGACCTCGACACTTCTGAAGAGTGCTGCCAGTTGTTTAGTAAAATGTCCTTTGATTTGGGTTTGTCCGATGTTTCCTAGTAAGGAAACCCCGGAGACGTATTTTTTAGCAACAGGACCACAGAAGTGCTGACATGCTCATCTCAATGCACGAGATCAGGGGTAGGTCATGCTGACATGCCTCATTACTGGTGAGGCAACCATTCTTGGCTTAGTCAAGATGGAGTTCGCAGATTCTTCCACTGTTGAAGTCATTATTTTCCCTTTGTAAAGAATAAGTATGTTGTGAGGAAGTGCTTCGAGACGAGGCAAACATCCTGTTTCTCATACATTTACCCTTTAGCTTTTGCATTCAAGGATGCAAAACAGTGCCAGCCAAATAGTGATTTTCTTTTTTTTTTTTAATAGTGATTTTCTGTTTTCATAATATCTTCTACATTTTTAAACTGAGATTCTATATTATCCCTAGAAAAAAACTTTTTTTTTTCTCAAAGACAACTTTCATTTTGGGCACTAGAGTAGGCATTTTACACATATGATCTCATTTATGTTTCATGACAGTCCTGTGAGGTTGGTAGTATTATTTCTATCTTCTTGATGGGAAAGTTACCCTCAGAAACCCTGACTTATCTTGCCTAGAATGGGGTCTTGACTTCCGCATGTTTAAAGTTCCTAGATGATTCTAACGGTCAGCTAGCCCTGAGAACCATCATTCCAGGAAGTTTCACATTGCAGTTCTTTCAATACAAGTTGTCAACGGTGAAATTTCTCTAGCAGGAGCCTACATTAGAATTCTGAGTCGGCATTTCCCAAAGTGTGTTCCTCAAACCACTAATCCCTTAGTTGTTTCATAAAAGAGATAAATGATGTTAATAAATCCATATCAGCTGTCTTCCAAACTTGAAGATCCATAAAGCATGTTGGCATAATTTTTAAGAATTAAAAGAAACCCTATAATAATAGATCTTTGAGAAACCCTATAATAAAGGAATAGCATATAATTTTGTTTCACCCCAAATTTTCTCAAATTATTAAACTTTGGTACGATTTTAACTGTAATAACTATTAATAACACATAGGACCAGCTCTAGAGCCCAAATTCTGATAAGTGCTGATTTAATTAGCATAACTTTTTGACCAAAAAAGACCTGTGGTGAAGATAAATTTGTAGTTTTGGATTTTATAAATATTTTAATGATTTTATGCTTTACTGTTTTTTCTAGAAAATATATATATTAATAAACTGATACGATATGTGATATTTTTTACTCATTTGGCACTTATTTCTCCTAGAGAAGGGATCTGCCCCACATTAACGAAGGCAAAAAATCAGCTGCTAAAGTTAGAATACACTGATACACAAAATAAACTCTAAATGGCCTAAACAGGAGACATGATACCATAAAATTCTTAGAAGAGATCATAGGCAAAGCACTCTCGACATAAATTGTATCGATGTTTTCTTAGGTCAGTCTCCCAAGGCCACAGAAATAAAAACAAAAGTAAATGAATGAGACCTAATCAGATTTACAAGGTTTTGCATGGCAAAGGAAATGATAAACAAAACAAAAAGCCTACAGAATGAGAAAAGAATATTTGTGAATGACAAGGGCTTCGTTTCCAAACAGTTCACCCAACTCAACAACAACAACAACAACAACAAAACAAACAACACAGTCAAAAAATGGGCAGAAGACCTAAATAGACATTTCACCAAAGAAGAAATACAGATGGCCAGTAGGCACATGGAAAGATGCTCACTGTTGTTGATTAGAGAAATGAAAATCAGAGCTACAATAAGGTACCACCTCACACAGTTCAGAATGGACATCATTAAAAAGTCTACAAATAACAAATGCTGGACAGGGTGTGGAGAAAAGGTAACCCTCCTACACTGTTGCTGGAAATGTAAGTTGATGCTGCTGCTATGGGAAATAGTATGGAGGGTCCTCAGAAAACTAAAAATAGAATTACCACATGGTCTAGCAATCCCATTCCTGGGCATATATAAGGACAAAACTATAACTCAAGATACATGCATCCCCTATGTTCATAGCAGCACTATTTACAACAGCCAAGACATGGAAGCAACCTAAATGTCCATCAACAGATGAGTGGATAAAGAAGACGTGGAACCTATATATCAGCACAATGGAATAATACTCAGCCATAAAAAAGAACAGAATAATGCCATCCGCAGTAACGTGGATGCAATTAGAGATTATCATACTGTGTGAAGTAGGTCAGAAAGAGAAAGACAAGTACCATATGATATCACTTTTATGTAGAATCTAAAATATGACACAACTGAACCTACCTATAAAGCAGAAGCAGACTCAAGGACAAATAGAACAGATGTGTGGTTGCCAAGGGAGAGAGGGTTAGGGAGGAGTGGAGTGGGAGATGGGGGTGACAGATGTAAGCTCTTCTGTATAGACGGATAAGCAAGGTCTTGCTGTACATCACAGGCTTCCCAGGTGGCCAAGTGCTAAAGAACCCTCTTGCTATTGCAGCTTAGACATAAGAGACGCAGGAAGACCCCCTGGAGGAGGGCATGGCAACCCACTCCAGGATCCTTGCCTGGAGAATCCCATGGACAGAGGAGCCTGGCGGGCTGCAGTCCAAAGGGTCGCCCAGAGTTGGACACGACTGAAGAGACAGCACACATGCACTGTATAGTACAGAGAATTATATTCAATATCCTGTGCTGAACCATAGTGGGAAAGAATATTTTAACAAGAATGTCTATATGTAACAAAATCACTTTGCTGTGTGGCAGAAATTAACACACTATAAATCAATTATACTTTAATAAAAAATTAAAAATAATTGACTACTCAATTTTTAGAAAAAAAATTGGACCCTCAGCCTTTCTAAATTCTATTAATTAACTAGCTTACTTATTTACCTAAAAATATCACCTTTATCCACAGCAAAAATTTGAACAGGGCACATAGAATGTGCTGGGGATGCCCAGATAACTCACCTTTGTCCATGCCTTTGGGATGCTTTCAGTCTATTCAGGAAGACAGATATATGCTTAGACAATAAATAACAGTATGTGGTAGCTTTTGCTAAGTCCCAAGAGCACAGAGCAGGCAGTGCCTTCAGGGAACAATGGCCTGTCTCTCTGCCCTCATCTGAACGCTGTAAACTGAATGCTCTGTTTACCCCCCTTCTCTGTGAGGAGGGCACTAGAGGGGTTGGTAAAGGGGTCTTAATTTCCTTGAAACCAAATTACCTTTCTGAAGTAGCAAAATCCCTCTTGTTTCTAATGGACTTTGAACAGTTCGCCAGATACCTGGAGAATGTCCTGCTGTTGTTATCAGTTAGGCATGCTAGGCATGCTTGCCCTTATTCTGAAGAGCTTGTCCCCACTGGAAGGACAGACAGGCAAAGAGGTGCTGGTCACCAAAGGCAATTTTGATCTTGAAAACAAGATTCAGGCTTGCTTATTAGGGCCAATCTAATGTAGGACATAAAATGCTTATTAAATTTCAGCTTATCCACTTTAGATTTAAATGAATGGTCAGTTAAATTTCTGGAGACATCTATTGTGAAGTGCGCTCTCTTAATCTTGTAAAGAGGCAGAAAGATATTGCCCTAAGTAATTTAATACAACTTCCTTTCACCTCCAATTTTAATGGCTTATAAAACTGTATCACATGGTCTAAATCACTATTTCCCATCTCATGAATCTGTACTTAGTGGCCATATTTTGCTATAAGTGTCATTACGATGCCCTCATTGACTCCATATTTGTTGTCAGTTGTGTTTCTCTTTGACAGTAAGATACTAATTCTAAAACTCTTCATACTAATACATTTCTTTTACTGTTATACTGAGGATGTTAAATATTGTCTTTCCTCTTAGATTCTATATCTGCTGCTTTTTCTGTTAGAACCTAGTCAATCCTAATTATAATATAGGATATATTTACATCTTCACATATCATACATTTTTGTCTTAATTAACCTAAGAGAAATAAATAAAAATATCTAATGCCTAAGGAAGT